TCCCTGATAGAAGGGGTCAGATGAGGTGGCACAGGTGACATGAAGGGCTCTAGCCCTGAAGGCGTCTCATCTTTGCCCATCTCCCCAGCCACCTACCTGCCCCTGCTTGTAGCCCCCTAAGCCGCTGGGGTGTCCGGGCCTGGGCTCAGGGGGACCAGCAGGGAGGGGCCTACCCCCAGCACCTCTGATGTTCAGATTCCCTGCACGCACTGGTCAGAAGCACGTGGTGAATCAGGTCCCTGCCTGCCCGCAGCCTTTGCAGAACTCCCTTCTCGTTGCATGTGATGCTCGAGACATACCTTTAAGGGAGGGGCAGGTCTCACCATCTCACATCTGAGGACACTGAGGCTCAGGGAGGTAGAGAAGTTCACCTGGGTCAGAGGCACAGCTGGGGTGGGGCAGGGCCAGAGAGAGGCCTCCCGACCCCCACTCCAGCTGTCTCCTCCTGACCCTGGCTGGCCCCTGGGGCTGGGGCCACAGAGGGCTGACTGCCAGTACCACGGGCCTCCCCTCCCTTGTGTGTTGCAGAATGTGGGCTGTGACTTCGAGATTGACTCCGGTGCCATGGAGGACCGCTGTGGCGTGTGCCACGGCAATGGCTCCACCTGCCACACCGTGAGCGAGACCTTCGTGGAGGCCGAGGGCCTGGGTATGGGTGGGACCACTGTGGGGGAGGGGCATGCTCTTTACCTGGTGGCCACTTTCCCATCTGCCCCGGGTCCCCCCATTGGCCTCGTGGTCCCCACCCAGCCATAGATGGCTAAGCAGGGAAGCCTTGCTGGGGTGGAATTCATGTAGGAGTCAGGGACCCCTAACCTAAGCACAGAGACCTGTCCCCATGGGGAGACCTCGTCCCAGAGACCCCAGGCAGGTCCAGCTCAGCTTGTGTGCAGCCCCTGGACCTCTAGGAGGATGGTGGTCTCCTCCCAAAGCTTCTGTGATCCTCAGCTCCACGCCCTCACTTTGGGTCTGCTTTGCACACGTTGTTCGAGTGCTGACTGTGCTAGGTGATGGGGACATGCAGGTGAATCGTTCAGTCCTGCAGGGGACAGAACCTTCTGTGTGGCCAATGCAGTGCAGGGAGGCCCAGAGGACTTTGGGAGCACCGAGGAAGACGCTCCTGGCCTGGGGAAGTCAGGGAAGGTTTCCTGAGGAAAACCCCGTTGTCCTCAGATCCCAGCAGGATGCTCATTCATGTTACTATCCCTGTCTGCCTCACTTTCCTCATCTGTGAAATGGGGACAATAATGGTACCTACATCCTAGGGTTGTTATTCATTTTACACGTGAGCAGTGCCCGGCGCGTGATGGGTGTTACAGAAGCGGGTGAATAAAAGCAGCCGTGTGGGCTGGGAGAAAGGCCTGAGCACGCTGGCAGTTTAGAAAGAGAATGCCAGCTGGCCCTGAGTGTTGGGTGGACCCAGTCTTGTGGTGAGACCAGTTTAGGTCCCCAAGAGAGGTGTGACGGGGCATGGACACGGGGTCAGGATTTGGGGCGCCTCTGTGAGGTTTTGGTGACCTGTGACATATCTGAGCAATTGAGAGAGCTCAGACTTTTAAGGTAACAGTGGAATCTTTGGTATCAGCAGGCGGGGTGCAAGTGGGGAGAGAGGTGAGGGCAGCGGGTGGGGATAGGCAACCCTGTCACCCCAAGCACAACCTGTACACAACCCGTGGCCAGCAGGGTATGTGGATGTGGGTCTGATCCCAGCTGGCGCACGTGAGAGCCACATCCAGGAGGCGGCGGAGGCTGCTAACTTCCTGGCACTGCAGAGCGAGGACCCGAAGAAGTACTTCCTCAACGGCGGCTGGACCATCCAGTGGGATGGGGACTACCAGGTGGCAGGGACCACCTTTGCATACGCATGCAGGGGCAACTGGGAGAACCTCACGTCCCCAGGTCCCACCAACGAGCCTGTCTGGATTCAGGTGCGTGCTTCCCAAGGCCCAGGAGCGGGGAGCAGAGGTGGAGACCCCAGGCCCATGGCAGGGTCTCATCCTGGAGGAGTGAGCGCTGGGGCAGTCACAGAGCCTGGTTCTCAGCCAGGCCCTCCTGCTGCAACCTCTGCCTCAGTTTCTCCATCTTTTAAAATGGCCCCGTGATGTAGCTGCAGTTCAGAGGTGGCTGGGGTCAGCTCCTCTAGGGCTGGGTGGATGGAGAGGATGCCTCGTGCTCACGGGGCTCGTCTGCTCGCCCAGCTGCTGTTCCAGGACAGCAACCCTGGGGTGCGCTATGAGTACACCATCCACAGGGAGGCAGATGGCCATGGCGAGGTCCCACCGCCCGAGTTGTCCTGGCACTACGGACCCTGGACCAAGTGCACGGTCACCTGTGGGACAGGCACAGCCCCTCCAGCAGGGGCTTTGGCTCTGGACAGGGATGCTGGCTTCAGCCTCCAGCTCACTTCTGGGTCACCACGGGTCTTGAGGTTTGCTTCTCTGAGCTTCAGTTCCCCATCTGTGAAATGAGGCTGGCAATTGCTCCATGTCCCATGCCCGCTGGGTGGTAAATAGATGCGGCAGGTGGGGGCAGCTTGCGGCGAGTGCTCAGCATGCCCCAGCCCTTTGCGTTCTCCATCCAGGGGGCACAGGTCCCTCTCAATTTTGTCCTGGCTCAGCTCCGGCAGGTCTCGTGCCTGCATTTCTGCTGTGTCCTGGAGACGACCCTCCCACCCCCACAGAGCTTTAGCTGTGGGCCTGTAGGGGCACTGCTCCCCTTCTCCAGCCCCTCCAGTGGTCCAGAGTCTGGGGCTCCCTGGTGGCCGCCCCATGAGGGGCTTCCCAGACAGGAGGGGGAACAGTGGAAGGTGGCAGGGAAGGGGGCAGTGAGGGGAGGGAGGCCAGGGCACAGCCAGGTTTCCCCCCCCACTCTGAGGCCAGCCTAGTGGCCCCTCACTACGCTGACTTATTTCTTTAAACTATATAAAAAGTATGATGTTTTCATTAACTTCGACTCTTCCTCCCCATATTTCCCTTCATGCCCCCCATGCCCCTTGGTCTCCCTGCCTCTCAGAATCTCCCACCTCAGGTCTCCTACCCTGCCCCTTGGTCTTCCCCCCCATGCCCCTCAGTTTCCCCCGACCCCTCAGTCTTCCCCCTTGCCCCTTGGTCTCCCCTTCCGCCCCTCAGTCTCCCCCCACCCCTTGGTCTCCCTGCTCACCCCTCAGTCTCCCCCCGCCCTTCGGTCTCCCCCTGCCCCTTGGTCTCCCCTCACCCCTCAGTCTGCCCCCAGTCATGACTCTCAGTCTCCCCCCAACCCTTGGTCTCCCTGCTCACCCCTTGGTCTCCCACCACCCCTCGGTCTTCCCCTGCCCCTTGGTCTCCCCTCACACCTCAGTCTACCCTCAGTCATGCCTCTCAGTCCCCCCTGCCCCTCGGTCTCCCCCCATCCCATCTCCCCCCACCCTTCAGTGTCCCCCCCTCCCCGTCTCCCCACACCCCTCGGTTTCCCCCCTCCCCATCTCCCCCCACCCCTCAGCCTCCCCCTACCCCTCAACCTCCCCCCACCCCATCTCCCCACACCCCTCGGTTTCCCCCGGTTGTGCCTCTCAGTCCCCCCACTCCTTGGTCTCCCCACCCCGGCCCCTGGGTCTCCCCAGCCCCTCGGTCTTCCTGCTCACCCCTCAGTCTCCCTTCCCTGCCTCCGTCTCCCACTCTGTTAGTCCTCCCCCTTTCCCCTCAGTCTTTCCATCGTTGACACCCAGTGTCCTCAGAGTCTCAGAATCGGGAATCTGAGATAGAGACACTTGAGCATTTCTTAAAATGCTATTTAAAAATTATTATTACTATTTATTTGGAGGAAAGAGGTGAGGGAAGGAGGAGGAATGGGGAGGAGGGAAAGGAGAAGTGAGGGAGGGGGCGGGCGCGCAGGGGAAGAGAGGGAGCCTTAAAATGCTGTTATGATGACAACATGAGAACTGGAGAACTGGGTAGATGCCTTCCAAAGCCAGGAAACCGTTTTATCTAATACAGCTATCTTTATTTTATTTTGAGATGAGTCTTGCTCTGTCATCCAGGCTGGAGTGCAGTGGTGCGATCTTGGCTCACAGCAGCCTCCGCCTCCGAGGTCCCACTGATTCTCCTGCCTCAGCCTCCTGAGTAGTTGGGATTTACAGGCATGTGCCACCATGCCTGGCTAATTTTTTATTATTGGTAGAGTTGGTGTTTCACCATGTTGGCCAGGCTGGTCTTGAATTCCTGACCTCAGGTAATTCACCTGACTCAGCCTCCCAAAGCGCTGGGATTGATTGCAGGCATGAGCCACCACACCTGGCATAATTCAGGTGTCTTTAAATAGACAAACGTGAGAAACCAACAAATACATGTGTAGCACGAGACATTTGGGGGATTGTCTTTCAGCAAATCGGCTGCCTCGAAGGTGGACCGTGTAGGAGTGTACGCAGAGGCAAGTGCCCCGCGGTGGCCAGGACAGACAGGCAGGAAGTCCCAGGTGTGCAGTCCAAGCTGGTGGGACCTGGAGCTGACTGTCCCTCAGCTGCAGCGTCCTTGCCACGGCAGCCCTCCCCTCCTGCTTGTCACAGATGTCATCCTCCCTTCCAGGCCTCTTGCCATGTTCCGGGCAGGAAGAAGGAGGGGAAAGGGCTGACTCCCAGCGAGGGACTCGTCCCTGTTTCTCCCCAGGCAGGACTGTGTCCCAGAAACCCTAGTTTCGAGGGGGCGGCCTCGGTGTTTTCAGCAGGTCCCATTGCTGTAGTTGGGACCTTGAGCAATATCAGGATCTGTTGGTGAGGAAAGGGGGATGGGTGTGGGGCTGGCAGCTCAGGGGAGGGACAGCTTACTCTTGAGACCCCAGGAGAGCAGAGAAAGCAGAGCCACCAGCAGAGGGGGTCCTGATGCTGGGTCTCAGCAGGCAGTATGGAAGTGAGTTTAAGTGAGGAGCGTGGCTGTGGAAAAGCCCGGGGTGGGCAGTGGCAGAAGGTATGAAGGACAGGAGCAATGCCAAGGCTGGTGTGGGGGCGGGGAGCGCCCCTTGATGCATTTCTTCTCCAGATCTTCTCTGAGCCATTGGGAAGGGCGTGGACAGTCGGGCAGCCTTGACGTCATGGCTGGGTTTGCATGCTAGCAGCAGCTGGCACGGATCGAGCTCTTAGGATGTGCTGGGCACGGGCTGAGCCCGCACACGCAAGGCCACAAGCAGTCCTCCCTCTGGGGCTTGTAGGCAGGCAGGATTGTCACTCCAACTTCACAGAGGAGGCTGCTGAGGTTCAGAGTGGCCAAATGAGCCACCCAGGCATCTCAGCTAGGAAGCAGAGGGTCTGGGGACCCAACCCACTAAACCTCCATACTGTGCCACCTCTCCAGGGACAGTCAGAGGGAGGCTACATAGGAGAGGGCGGGTGAGAGCAGGACAGCAAGGAGGAGGCAGCCGGGGAGGTCTGCCTTCATCCTGACACAGGCGGTGAGGTGCTGTTCTGGGAGGGTTCTGGCAGAAATGGTGTCTTTGGGTCTTGGGTGGTGGGCACCTGGGTGTCAGGTCCAGGCTGAGCCCCACGGCCCCTAGGTGTGCAGAGGCAGAGTGTGTACTGCTCGGAGTGGCAGGCAGGGCCTGTGGACGAGGGGCATTGTGACCCCCTGGGCCAGCCTGATGACCGCCAGAGGAAATGCAGTGAGCAGCCCTGCCCTGCCAGGTGAGCTGCCCCCACGCCCCTACCAACTCCCTACCCCCAGGCGGCCTGGGTCTGCCACAGGCCCCTACTTCTGGGCCCCAGAGGCCCCAGGGAGGAGCACAGCCAGCCAGGTTTTCACTCGTCTTCCCAAGGCTGAAGCCCCAGCTCCTGGTCACCCCTTATTCCAGCCTGGGCCAGCCTGGACACCTGTGGTCCTCCTCCTTAGGTCCCTGGATATAGAAATAGGCCTCAGGTCACGCTCACTTCCCCTGAGGGGAGGGTGGCAGGAGTGGAGGGGCTGGGCCATGTCACCAGACTTAGGGGGCAGGGCACCTACCTGGGCTTGGAGCTCTGGAGAAGCAGCCACTGGCCTTGGTCCCAGCTCTGGGACCAACTCTGAGGGCCTGGGAGCCTGGCCTGGCCCTCCCTGCTGGTGAGCCTACTGATGCCACCCGTGTGCCCTTGCCAGGTGGTGGGCAGGTGAGGGACAGCTGTGCTCCAGCTCCTGCCTGGGGGCCTCTCACACTGGGCCATGCTCTGCATCTGCAGTGTGGAGCTGGATGAGCAGAGCGCCCTGGAGCCGCCCGCCTGTGAACACCTTCCCCCGCCCCAGACTGAAACCCAGTGCAACCGCCACGTGCCCTGTCTGGCCACCTGGGCTGTGGGGAACT